CATAATTTCCATCATCAAAACAGAATTGAAGCGGGCCAGGGATTTAGCTCAGTGTTGCCACCGCCTGCCTCGCAAGCGCAAAGACCAGAGTTCGATCCCTGGTACCAAAAAACAAAACAAAACAAAAAAACAGAATTGAAGCATACCCTTCAGTGAGAGAGACCCCACTGGAGTGAGTAACTGAGTGAGTAAAGACATCAAAGCTTGGACATCCTTAAATCATATCTAATGTCAAAGATAAAACCTGGCTTAATAAAAATCCATGTAGGTACTAGATGTAAACTGATAAAAAATGCCAACTTTAATATATGTTGATAGGTGCTTATTACAGTTTTAGTCCTGTGAAGACAAAATTGAAAAACAGGTTGTACACAGGTAATCCCCAAGTGAAATCTGTCTCATAGACGTGGTTAGCCGGCCTCCAATGTTAATAACATATGACCCAAAAGTTCAAACTTAGAACATTTCATATAAAAAATACAGATTTCTAGCTTGTATAGAAAAATAAGCAAAGCTAACAGCTTCTGCATAGCAAAAGCAGTTGGTTGAGAGCTGGCACGATCCATTTACATGACTCTGCAGGCCCAGATGCCCACTTCTTACTTTAAAACCTAACTGATACTCTAGTTTTTAAAATCCCTCAAAAACAAAACACCTGAACTAACAAATTACATAATCCTGACATGGAACTACACCAGATTCAAAGATGGTAGTTCCCAAGCTTTGCTGCACATTAGAGTCACCAGCAAGCTTTAAAAATCCTGCTGCCCAGAGCTGTCGTGTGTCACCGTGTCGCGTGCTGAAATTAGGCACCTGATTTCTAGAGCTCCCACAGGGAAGAGCAGAGATTGGCTCGCTGCTGAGACGCGCCCGAGCCCACTTGGAGTCTTCGTGACACAAGTTTGTTTCCTTCCACAATTTTACAGCTTAGGTATGAAATTAGGGAAATATTAATTTGCCTGAGGTTACACACCTCATAAGAGAAGTTAGGACTTCAGAGCTAACGGTGTAGCTTAAGGGTAGAGCACTCGCCTAGCACGTGTAAGCCCCGGTTATCTGGTTTTCATCACTGCAAAAAAAAATACTATTCCAACCCAGAAACCCAGATCTGACTCTTGTAACCTTATAGTTTGAAGTAGTCATTTAAATTATTACAAGGTTATAGAAATAAAATGGAATACTACTCAGCCATAAAGAACGAGGAAATAGATTCATTCATAGGAAAATGGATACATATTGAAGATATACTCCTAAGTGAAATAAATAAGTCACACATGTGTAAATACCGAATAGTTTCCCTGGTGTGAATAATCTGCAATAATACAGAAGATCCTAATAAGATTACTGTCATTTAGAAATGAGAAGAAAGGAGCTAAAGGTGTAGGGAAGGTGGGATGGGTAGGGGAAGGGTAATAAGGGAAAAGAAAAAAATGTGAGATAATGAAAAGATGGAAATAAAGTGTTTGTAGATGGGGAGGGGAGGAGGGGGTGAAGGGAGGGCAGGGACAAGGGGAAGAAATGAGAATCAAGACCTGTCTTGGAGAGGTACAAGATCTCAACAATGAATGTAACTGTACTGTATCCCTAAAATGTACCAATAAACTCAACTAAAGCTGAAAAAAAATTTAAAAAATAACATTATTGCAAGGTTAGTTTTAAATACATAAGCAGAGAAACTTTATGCCCATATAAACTGATTTTATCCTTACAAAATATATTAGAAAACAAATAATCTGTAACAAAGATATGGCCAACAAAGGACCAAGAGATTATAATTAAAAGATTAAGTTTTCTGCTATTTTTAAATGCCAAAAAATAAAGATGATCAATATAAGTCTTGTAGGGACACAACAACAAGACTTCTATCAAAACCCAGTGAACTAAAATCTGGGCATGATGGTGTGTGCCTGTGTTCCCAGCTACTGCAGAGACTAAGGCCAAAGGACCACTTGAGCCCAGAAGTTGGCCAGTGTGGGCAACAGAGTAAGATCACATCTCAAAATATATACATTCAGGGCTGGGGATTTAGCTCAGAGGCACATCACCTGCCTGGCAAGCATGAGGTCTTGGGTTTGATTTCAAGAACCAAAAAACGAAGTATATACGTACAGAAATCCCAATGAACTAAATACCAAGACAGTTTCACAGTAAGTAGGACACTGATTTTTAAGGATAGTACACATTTTAGGGAATTCAGAACTTGATATATTTAAATTATTTTATAATTTAAGTAAGCTTTATATAATATCATTATATTAAAGTTGCTTGTTTGTTTGCTTATTTGAGACAGGAACTCAGTATTATCTGGCTGGCCTTGAACTCCAGGTGATCCTCCTGCCTCAGCCTCCTGAGTGCTGGGATTACAGGCACCATCATACCCGGCCCAAAGTAGCATGTTAAAGACAGGGACACAGTATAAGATATATTCCCAATATGACTGCAAGTGTAATTTTTAAAACATGAAGCTAAGAAAAGAATTATGCTAAAATTATGCTTATGGATGATTTGGTCTTTCACCCTATATTTTCAAATTTTTCTATAATAGTATTAATTACTTTTTATAGCTCAATGAGTATTTAGAACGTTTTTAGGTAGAATAACAAATTAGCTGCAATAAATCTTCAACAATATCAGAATTACACTTCTTGGGCAGGTTGGTCAGACAAGTGTTATCCACCTTGGACACCTCTGCATGGCTGGCTTTTAGCTGTGCATGTTTTCTTGCAGAGCAAAATGAGCACACAGTTTTCTGAGATCTTTACACCATCCCACCACACTGTCATTTAAAAGCACTGTCCAGGAGACTCAGTCATATAAACACGGGCCATTTACAAACTGGATGTCTAATTTCAGGTCCCTGAGATCTGAAAATGAGTAGGGGTTGTTTTTTAGTTGGGGATCGAACCCAGGGCTTCACACATGATAATCACACACCCTATTCCTGAGCTACACCCCCAGCCCTGAAAGTAGGTTTTTCAAAAATGTTAAGATGCTCATATAATGGTTGTTGTCTTTTCCTTAACATTTGTTTACTTTTCAAACTTCTTTGTTTTTGAGACAGGGTCTCACTATGTAGTTCAGACTGAACTCACTAGTAACCTAGGCTGGCCTCAAACTTGTGGTGATTCTCCTGCCTCAGCCTCCCAAGTGCCAGGATTACACATATGCCCCACCATGCCTGGCAACTTTTAAAGTTTTGCAAGTACTGTTTCAAGAAAAAGTTTCGACTACGTATTGCAGGTAGTATTTTAAGGAAATGAGTTATGTCAGTGAGCACTTCTGCCCTCCTCCTGGACAGTCAGAACGTTTAGTGTCCTTGGCAGTGCGTGAACGTGTACATCACATCTCTGTCATAAAACAACTCGTATTCTATCTACAACACAAGACAGATGATGAGGGGCCTTCACCCATGTTTTCATTACAGTCTGTTCCTTGTCCCTTCGCCTCTCTAAGCTTTACTGCCCCAAGACAAAAAACAGGGTTATCAGACACTGACCTACCCTGAGTTTGAAGGTTCAATGAAACCGTTTGTGAAAATGTCTATATGGACTCTAAACATCAAGTAGCATTAGAGCTACTTCTGTACAATACCGCTGAGCTTTCACTTTAGCACTACGTCACATAGGTTCTGTATTCAGCACGACTGTCTTCAGCGCACATGCATACATTTTCAGCACCGGCAATGGAAGCTGGTGCCCCACCACTGAGCTACACCTGCCACTGTCTTTCCCCATGAAGTTCATTGGTGCATTTAATGCAAACAGTGCAGTCACACTCGTCACTGGGGTCTTGTACCTTTACCTGATGTGTCTTGGTTCTCCCTCACCCCCTTCACCCCCTTCACCCTTCCCTATTTACAGAGACTTTGTTTCCATTTCTTCACACTTTTCTTTCCCCTTATTTCCTTTCCTCTCCCCTTCCCACTTCCCCTTCAGCCATTTTCTTCCTGTTTCACACTCTCAATTATACCATTTGAACCTTATTTACACTTGTAGTTTTTCACACCAGAGAAACTATTCAGTATTTACTCAAGTGTGTCCTATTTATTTCACTTGAGTATAGCCTCAATGTGCATCCATTTAGCTATGTCTCTCGCTTCTCATTTTTTATGGCTGAGTAGTACTCCATTTTATAGAAAAACCACATCTTCTTCATCCAGTCTCCATTTGATGGGCATTTGGATTGTTTCCAAGTTTTAGCTATTACAAACTATGATGCTATAAACATTGGTGTGCATATATCACTGTGGTATGATTCTTTTAATTCTTTTGGAATCCAGTTCTTTTTATGGCTTTTTTTTTTTTTTTTTTTTTTTTTTTTTTTTTTTGGTAATTTTGAGATAGGGTCTGGCCTTGAATTTGAAATCCTCCTGCCTCAGGATCCCTAGTAGCTGTGATGATCACTGCACTTAAATAGTTTTCACTGACCTCTTTGAGTGTCCATCTTTAAGTTGTTTACTTAAAAGGTACAATAGGTTTATTTTTAAGAGAGTTTAAAGTCAACTTTTCAAGGCAAACCACTTTCCAAGCTCCCTTCTGTCTCTCTTAGACAGAAACTATCTTTCCCTATAAATACTTCCTACTCTTAAAAGGAAGAAAAGTCAACTTTTCAGCCTGTAAATTCTTAGAATATTCTCCAAAGAAAGACTAATTCTTTGATAATATTATTTTAGAAATATTGATTCCTCTCTAGTTTGCCTAAAGGGGGTATATTTTAATCATAGTAACACATTACTTTCATGGTACTTTTTGCTTTGGTAGAGTATTTTGCCATATTTGATCATTTTGTTTACAAAGGTGCTAATTCGACACATCTACATATAATTATGCAAGGAAAGTCTGTCTCAACAATTCATTTTATCGTATTAATTTCCACAGATCATAATACAAAAGATCTGATTTATCTTAGAAATACATACACTTTACCAAATATTTTTATTACACATCTCTTTTTACAGCAATCAGATGGCTTAGTTTTTACTATAAAGTAGGAAAACAACAACTAATTTAAATTATGGGGTTATTTTAAGGACTAAATGAATTAAGGACTACAAAAGCCACTGACTGGCATATTCAGAATAACAGATGATCATTTCCTTCAGTTTTAGGTAGCTTATAGCTTTGTTTATATAGTACTTTGCATTTTACATATATAAATACTTTTAGAAAGCGAACTGTTCGCAAAATAAGAGAAAATTAAAGAGTTTATAATAGCAGTCTACGGTCAGTGCTGCAAATACGAGTGGCTGCCAGCACTGTCGCATTCCGACTGGCAACGGCATTAGAGACTCATGAGGCCACTGAAGGAGGAGAACCCCGGATTTATATCACACGTGATGTCACTGGAAGCAGCCTTTATTTGAGTTAATGTTCTTTTGCAATAATATTTCATACTCAGCCTCACTGTTCTTTAATTTTCAAATTTGATCTAAATATTTTCTGTGGCGAATAAAGCTTTGTCCTCTGGAAAAATACAAAGAATTATTTAAATGAGTATCTCCTTTACAAATATACATTTGCTCATTCTCTTTTCATGGGGCTGTACCTTATACGTACAGAAAACAACCATTTTTGCCTCTAGAGACAAACAGAAGTTAACCATTTGATCGTCATCAACCAAATCACGTGGGAAACCCTACACTGTAAGCGAGGCGTGACGCTGCCAACCCTGCAGGAGTTGTGTTAGTGTCACAGACACGCAAAGCCTTACATTCTGGTAACGCTGGTCGCCACTGAACTGCTTCCTGTGCCACTTCTTTAAGTTTCTTCTTAAGATCCCTGCTGGTTTTCTTATAGAAATGAAGGTCTTTTTCCAACTGCTGGATTTTATCTTCATATATTTGTAAAAGTTCTACCATGCCTTCTCCATCTTGCTCTATAAAGCAAAAATTCACATTTTAACTTAGTTTTAAATAAATGGTTTACAATTATGTTCTAACATAGCCCCAGACTGTCCTTAAAGGGTCAGGTGTGTGTTACACTGTCACCTTCATGGATTTGCTTTCAGCTACCATTTGGATCCTTCGCTTGGAAAAATGTTTGAGAGGCTGCACCCTCAGTTACCTTCTCTGCCCTATCCCCTTCAACCACCACGTGCTCATGATTCATAAACTTTTCAGTTGCTACTAACAAGACTTTAGAACAGCAAGAGACTGCAGAACTTCCTACAGTGATGATCAGAACTCCATCTATTAACTATATGGATATCTTACTCAAAATTTGTATCAGGAACTGTGTCATATGGAAAATCCTACATCCACATCTTCAAAAAAAGTTGTTGAAAAAATCTACAAAAATTAAATTACAAAGATAAACAGCACAGATAAATAAGAAGGAAAATCTAGCGTAAGTTCTACTTTCTGTCACAACTGAATGTAAAGCCTCTAATTAATACTTACGAATCAAGCATTATTCTGGAACAGTAAAACCTAGTAGCCTGACTTAGAAAATACATACTTTTGGATCTATTCTCTCTTACGGACATATTTATAGCATAGTTCTACTGGTTTGTAATTTTTTGTTATACTCAAATGTTTCATAAAAATTTAAGTATATTTGCATGGTTTAATTCATCATCTTATTTTGAAGCTTACTTAAAATGGCATCATGAATCAGAGTTCCCGTGAAGTAGGGCCAGGAGGGTAACACAGTAGTTGAGCACTAGCCTAGCATGCATGAGGCCCTGGGGTCAATCCCCAGCATTGCCAAGAAGAAGAAAAAACCCGTAAAGTATGTTTAAATCCTTCAACAACTTTATGCTCCATATTTATTCGGTTTAGAAAATTCACAAATTGTTAATATTTTAAGTTACAATTTTGTTATGAAAACTACATATAGCTGTAGAAATTAGTAATTTTTAAAATATTCTCATTTGACTATGGTGCCAAGTTTTGATGTACAATCCTAGTTGCTTTAAAAATACATAAAAACTTTATTTAAATATTACTGTTAGAGTCTTTCAGCTGCAGTAAGGAGAGTGTGCTTGAATGCAATGAATGATATGTGGGATCCCCCCTGCAAATCTTGTCATTGGGCAACTGATGGTTAATGAAGCAGTTAGAAGTAACTTGGAGGTGTATATTTCATACATTTCTCAATTCTCTGCTTTCTTACGTTGTTTCTTCCAGATCCCTTCTGATCCATTTTCAGCTATGGATTCATAAGCATTAGGAAGAAGCCTGCCCTACAGCAGTCCTAGTATCACCTGGCCATGATTTTGCTGCTGCAGCAGCTGCTTGTATCCTGGCCCTGCACCCAGGCAATGCAAAGCCCAGCTGTTGAAGAGAGTTCTCTGTGTCCGCGTGGATGCTGGACTGCTGCTCACTGACCACAGTATGTCATCGGGGTAGACTAATGTTGACCTAAGATACAATCTTAATGCATAAAATGTTACAATGAACTGAAAAATTATAAAAAAATACCAACAGTATAATGGAAAATAATTTAAGTATTGTAGTACTACGTTACTGAGAGAAAATTTTCAACTGTACATCAGAAATCTAGAAGTAATCCCACATTTCCACATAAAAGCTAGATTAACAACAGACTAACAGGACCACAGCAGTTCTTGTGTGTGTGTGTGTGTGTGTGTGTGTGTGTGCAGAAGAGATGTTCTTTAAGAGAGCATGAAGACCCTTACATCAAAGTCAACCAACCCAAAACAGTAATCAAACTATGCAAAAGCCAAACCCTTGTATAAGTGGTAATTATTTGAAAACGCTGGCCTTTTAGGTGAAGGGTTTCTGTCCATCTTCCTTCCTTGATGTCGCCCCTATCACTTTACTGACCTTTGAAATGATGCAATAGCAACTGCATCTTTTGCTCATGTTCCTTCTGCTGGAGAGTCAATCTCCGGTCACATTGGAATTTCAGATGTTCCAGTGCAGATTCTAACTCGCAAATCATATTATCTCGGTCCAGAACTTTCATTTTAATTTCTTCATTCCATAACTGTTGCTTCCGTTCAGCTTCTCGTAAATTAACCACCTAGCAAAGACATTTTTTTGAACTTTTAAGTGTCTTAGATAACCTAATACAATAAATTAATTTACTTTTCCTGGTCTACATAAAGATGTGTTTTGTTAATCTCCATAGTGTAAGTCTTCTTCTTCTTCTTCTTTTTTTTTTGAGACAGGGTCTCACTATGTAGTTGAGACTGACCTGGAACTCACTGTGTAGCCCAGGCTGGTCTCAACTCACAGCAATCCTCCTGCCTCAGCCTCCAGAGTGCTGGGATTATAGGCGTGCACCACCACGCCTGGCTTGTATAAATGCTTCTTGAAAGGTACTGGGTTCTCTGGCAGAGGCTTTATAATATACTCACAAATTAACCTAATAGCTTTTCTCATTTGCTGGAATTCTGAATTGGTAACACTTTCACTTTCAATATGATGTTAGTCTGACAGTCATCCCTTTGAGAATTCTTAGATACGATCTCTGTAATTTACATTTTATAATTCTATAACTGTTTATCTAATCTACATGGATATTGAGAAGCTAACTCTTATAACATCTAGATAACTCTCTGCTTTAAGCCAAATGGATGTTATAAGTAAGCAACAGAATTTTTTTTAACCATAAACACAGAGGTTCAGTTTCAAGTCCTGCATTTTATCTGTTGCGTTCTCCTCTGCTGGTACTAAATTATTAAGTAACACTTTGTCTGCATCAAAGACCTTGTTAGTAATCCCATGACCTCTTCAGATCAGTACTTATTCTACAAAGGTTTCTCAGGATCAGAAAATTCACCACGGTTGACTCGGGTACCTGGGTACCTTGCTTTCTTCTGTACACAGGGAGAAGAGGGGACTGAGGGTGTGAGTGCATGATTAAAATTAAAATTAAATTCATTTTTTAAAAAAAGAATCCTTGCTTTCAGCACACCACGAGGTCTCATCTAAACCTAGGAAAGCACTCCACCTTTTCTTTTTTGCCATCTACATACACAGCGACAGGCTACACACTCCTCAGAAACAGTAGCTTACTACTGACAATGATTCTCTAAGAGGAGACCATTTATAACATTTTCCGTTTTGTTTCACACTATTAGAACTTCTAAAAAATGTCAGTGTTTTTCATTGAATGTCTGATATCCCCATAATTTATACATACTTTTTACAAAAAGGAACTCATTATGTAACACTCCATAATAGATAGTCTTAAGTGGAGAAAATGTTAAAGAAAATATGGATATATTTCCCAGTGCTATGGAACATCTCTGGATCAGTGAGTTGTTCAATTCCTATTGAGTGACTCGATGACTTAATTTTAACTGATTCAAGCACATTCAGGTTAGCAGAATCTATCACTATCTTTGCCACCACCTCACCTCATCTCCATTTCAGCTCACGTAATGAGAAAGAACAGCTTTACGCACCCACAGAAATGAAGGAAAAGGATTCAAAACGTGGGCAGCCTCCTTACTTGTCATGAATGCGGTGTGGAAACATCTAAATCTAGAACCAAGAAATAATATGGAAGGAATACAATTTAAATGCTTGGATTTTTAAGACTATTGTAAAAAGGCCTACTGAAAAGCGCTCCAATTTTGAGCACCTCACTATGTTTGACCAACACGTTTGCATAATCAGAGCCCGGAGATGATAACATTCTGTACTAGAAGGGGAAATCGTGGAGAGAAATCGTGATGAAAGCTGTAGTTACGCCATCGAATCTTCAAGCCTTTCGACTTCTTTCAAAATTCAACATAAATACAGGAAGCATCTTGATTTCTCTAAGTAACCATCACCCCTAAAACACAAACCTTGTTGAAATATCTGAAAAGAATAGCTCTGATCTCAACAGGACTCAGGCAAATGAGTTTTTCTAAGACATTCGCTTCACTATGAGAGAGATTTTGGGAGGAGGCTCTCAGCAAGTTCTGGCGACTCTGGATACTCTCATTCTTGTATTCGATTGCAGCTTCCAGTGCTTCGATCCCTTCTTCAAGTTGGAAAAGAACACGCTCCTCCTGAGGTGACACAACAGAGATCACTCTTTAAGTGAAATGGCGTAATCTGGACTCTGTCGCATACTCAGATCGTATTATGCTATGAGTTTAATGGACAGTAACATTCTTTTTCTAAATTCTAAGAAAACTGTTTTAGTTCTTCCTATGCTGCACGATGCACTGTGTGTGTAACACATAATCCCAGCATCTTCATAGTAAGCCTGTGTAATAAAATAGAGATGCAGAAGCTAGGTGAGTTCTGAAACTTTTCCAGGTAATACAGTAAATGCTAGTTACCAAATCCAAGGTATTACTACCTTCCTGCACAATTCCGAAAGTGTGTTTCATATGTCAGCATTTTCACTAGTGAAATCTACGGGCCCCCTACTGTTCTTCTAACAACCGATCAAAACAACGTGTTTCTAGGAGACAAAAGAAATGTATTCAGAATAAGTTCTTACTAATTAGTAAGTAGAGAATAGACTCTAGGGAAAAGCCAAAGTATAGCTTAACAAAAGTGGTGAAGATACAAGGACATAAAACATTTCATAAGATTCCTATGAAATGCCACTAACGGGGAAAATAGAGGCATTAAAAATGGTGGCAACATAACATTTTTTCATACACCAGAGCTTTCTTTAATAGGAAAAAAAGAATCTGATGACTCTTCTTAGATCCATCCAAATACATATAATTTGTCCAAATAAATATGACTTTTTGTTCTTAGATCTATCCAAATATATTATGACGTGGGGGGAACAAGACCAAATACCTGGAAAGAAATTATTTTAGATTGATGAGACGTAGATATATGAGGTATGAGAAAACACATGATGTGTGTGCTTGCGCGTGCGCGCTTTAAGTGGTATGGTAACAAAAGCACGCAGTCCTTAACAGCTGTCCCTCAGGACTCCCCCGCCTGCACACATCAGTCTTCTCTCTTCGTTCTCACCACTGTCAGAAGCAGTTGTGGAGTGTCTTTCTGCACTGCCGTGGCTACCTTGATGTCCAGATCAGTTCAGTTTCATCGTCATTTTGACTTTGGGAAGAGCCAGAAGTCTCACGGTGCCGGATTCTGGGGATAAGGCGGATGAAGACGTACTGTAATGTCTTTATGAGCCTACCTTCCTGTTGGACAGCACCAGGAAGCAGTATTTACTGTATTTCTTTAACGTATCTTGTGAAGACATCCATGAGAGAGACTTCCAAAACAGCTTCAGACAGTGGCAATAATGAGACAAGTGTGCTCCAAGTGGGGAGTATTTTGAGGACTAATGTCAATGCCTTTTACTAAATAAATTTTTTAAAATGTAAACAGTCACTGCATTTTCTGATCACCACTGTATGTTTCTGTATTCTTATTCAGGCTGTGGAGGTCACTAAACTAAGTTCCCTGAGGGCAGACTGTCTTGCCCATACTCACTTCCTGAATGCCTGCCTAGTACTATCACATGGCTTAAACTTAGGATCTGTTGGATGAGCTAATAAAGAGACAGGGAAAAGAGACACTTTTATGCCCTTGATTATTTTTCTTTATATGTCAGCATCTCAAAGGAAAAGAATGTAAATATTTCTGATCTACTTAAAGTTACAGTGACTTCTGGAGCTCCTTTTTTAAATTCAAGAAACGAATGGAATAACCTAACCTAGTAGGAGGTAGAAAAACATTTTTAAAGGTCATTTTGTAAAATTCTCTGAAACAGCCATTTTGGAAAAAATGTTCGATAACCATTCTACTTCTCTGGGCAATCGCTAAGCATCAGAAATCTGGGAGCTCTATAAGGAATGTCACCTTTTTAAGAAAAAAAAAACCTTAAATGTTGCAAGGTGAATAAGGGGAACCACAAAATAAAAGTATATTATCAAAGAATATATTTCACTTCTGAATTGATGCTATGCTTACATTTTAACAAAAATGTGCAGAGTTTGCCTTTATACACGGCCGAAAACCATTTCCATGGTATAAATGCAGTGTCTACTGTTGCAGATCGAGTTGAGGAAATGCTCACATAACGTAAGGTAGGGTCCTGTAAGTCCAGAGCCTACGGGACAGCCCCGACTGGGGCTGCAGCACAGAAGGGTCACGGTTCCCACTAACTGCAGCAGGTGCAGGCTGACCAGACGGGAAACCACCTGTCCTGAAGAGCTAGCTATGCTTTACCACAGTGCACTGCTTTTCCAACCTCAGTGTGCACTGAGGGGCTTTGTTAAAATGCAGATCCTGACCCAGCCGGCTCTGCGTGGGGCCTGAGCTCTGCGTGTCTGCCAGACTGCTCCCCAGGATGCTGTTGCCACTGGCACAGAGATCAGTCTGTGAGCAGCAAGGACCAGAAGCTGAGGTCTCCAGATCACATGTCCTATCAGTAAAAAGCAAAACAAGACAAGAATCTAACAAAAACTTTTAAGTGAGCACCATATATATATATATATATATATATATATATATACACACACACATATATATACACACACATACACCGCATGCGTATTTCTCCATAAGTTAAATGAATATTTTAATCAAAAAACATGGAACTAAAAGTTGAAAAGATGAAAGAAGCAACAGTTCCTTTATTTTCTTCCTGAACCTCACGTACAGGCAGCAGCTCTGTACAGTGAGAAAAGCATATCTCCTCCTGTCATCTGCAGCAGCGTGGATGGAGCTGGAGGACATTATGCTAAGTGAAATAAGCCACCTACAGAAAGATGTGTCTTCTGTGTAGAAGCTAAAAGTGTTCGCACAGAAGTGGAGAGGAGAAAAGTGGCCACTAGAGGGCAGGAAGCACACAGAGAGGTCGGCTGATAGGTACCACAGTACAGATGGGGGAATCAGTTCTAGAGTTCATGGTACAGCAGGGTTAACTACAGCCAGCAACAATTGGTTTTGCATTTCAAAATAACTGGAAGGACACAGAGGTTTCCACTACACAGAAATGATATTAGACTAAAATGTTAATTACATGTGTTGTAATACTGCTCCTCATATTTATTTATATCTATCTATCAATCATCCCTCTAAAAGAGAAAACTAAGCCAGGCATGGTGGCACACATCTGTCATCCCAGCACTCTGGAAAGCTGAGGGAGAGGACTGGAAGTTTAAGCCCAGCCTGGGTAAGTTGAGTGATTCAGACTTCCATGTTTTCAAAAAAGCTTGAGATTTATCTCAGGTGAGGATCCTGGATTCAATCCCCAGTACTGAAAGAAAAATGAAAAAAAAGTGGGGGAGCAAGTGGGAGAGAAAGAGAGCAAAGAGGAGAGAAAGAGAGGAGGGAGGAGGAGAAAAAAACTAGAGTTCAATTTTTTTTATTTTATTTTTTTTACTTTCTAGATTTTATTGAAAAAGGGGAGGGGATCTGCATATAGTGAAGTTGTTGGGTAATCCTCTATTGGGATGGTGACCTAAAGCCTATCACTTCCTGAAAAGTAAGACAGTCAAGAAAAATAATTTATTGTAGAAAGAAAATACTGTAATTTTAAGTAAGCTTAAAGACATCAAGACAGCAGACCATTCCACCTAGACCTTAGTGATGTCCCGTGTCTCTAGAAATCCCGTGTCCCTCCAATCATCTGCTCCTGGCAGATCTATCTGGGAACACTGATCTTGGCTTTCAAACAGTGATGAGAACAGAGCTTGCTTCAGACCTGCATACAGAGAACCCGTCAGAAGGCGCATAGGAGCTCCTAAGGCCAAAGAAAACCCCAGCAACTGTGGGAGGTTTCTCACGCCCTCAAAGTAATCTGGGGTGGCTACTACTCAGGGATTGTGCACACCATTACTATTGTCTTAGGTACAGAAATAACTCCACATGAAATAGCAGCCTTGATATTTCTTTGTAATTAACAGACCTTAGCCTGCTGCGATAGTCTGCTCACTCCTATCTCCGCACGCCTCACTTAACCATCGACGTTCTCCCTAAAATGGCCTCCTCCTCCTGCCAGCGCCCTCTGTGTGTTATCATTCGGCTTTAGATTCTAATCCACCAAGGCAGCCCTAATGCACTTTTCCCCAATGATCACTGTACTGCTTTGCATTCATGGAGTATTGACAGCATTATTGCATTAGCTGTCACTTGCTTTTTTTATGTACTTTGGGATTTAGAGTTTTCTTACATTTCTTATGTATAGTGCTTTTCCCAGAGACTGTATGAATTTCTCAAAGGGAGCATAATGCTACATTTTCCACTTTCATTGTTTCCTCCTTAAGAAAAGACCTGGTACAGTCTCAGGCAGGCACAATTTCTTAGATCCTTAGGCTCCACTGTATCTCAGGCTCTTTATCCTTCAAGTCTACAAAGCTTAAGGCTCTAGCCAAAGTCTCTGGGAGGCCAGCCTGGCACTGTGCATCCCTGCAGGGCCGCCAGCTTACTGACACAGTGGTAGAGGGGGGCGTGATGTTCCTCCAGCAGCCGCGTAGCGCCATGCAAGTCAGTCTCCAATCCATCCATCAGTTCAATGAGGGTAATGTAATGCTACTCCTTCTCCTGTTTCTTCCTAACTACTCCTCCCTTAACTTTCTCCCACTTGCCTCAATCTAAGACACTATAAGATTCAGCTACTCACCTGCTTTTAGCAATTTTCCCTTGCTTTGGACATCAACAGTAAGTATTTGCCGAGAAAACTCAGGCTCAAAAATTCATCTTTGTCTGATAAAGTAAGTTACAGTGACCATTTTTTACCAACTGAAACAAAAAGTTTTAAAAAGACCAAGCATGGAGCAATGTGATTACCAATTAGTGAACCATCTTTTTATCTAACTTTAAAATTAAACATAAGAAGAGCAGATGTTCTCCTAAATGGACAATGAAGTTAAAAGATATATCGCTGAAATTTGAATTTCGGGCATCTGTTTGTCTGGACAGAGTAGGGAATAGCTCTCAAACACTGACCTCTTCTCGGCCCACCTCCCTGGCAAGAATCAGTCCTTTAGGCACTGCACCTGTGGTGTGCAGTGAATTACCAGGGTCCTCAGAAAGACACAGAGAGGTGAGGTGCCCTTGCAAGAACTGAGGAGGATTCCTCAGATCATTTTCTGTGTTGTGTGATTTCTGACGAGAAGGACTCAGGGAAAATATTTGTGTCCTAGTGCCTGGCAACGCCAGGAAGGGGCCACACGTGTGGGCCAGTATGTGGGGACATCTGTCTGTAGTCAAGCACGGTTAATGTGCCAGATAGAAGCCAGGTGAACTGATTGTGGCAGACAGAGTCTCGAGGGAACAAAGTTTACATCATTACTTTTATGACTGTGTGACAGAAACCAAGGAAACCAGCCAGTCATCCATCGCTGTACAGCACCTCCAGCTCTAAAGAATACGGACTTACTTCAGGGGACAGCACGCTACTGTTTTTAAGTTTCTGCTCCACACTGTTTCTTCGTCTCTGGAGTTGATCCTTTTCTTTCTGAAGAGCTTGGACTTGCTCTGAAATCTTCATTTTCTCCTCAGCTGTACCACTCTGGAGCTGCACACTCTTTTCAGACAACTCTTGGTCCAGTAAGTCAAGGCGAGTTGATATTCTTAAACTGTCCGTGTTTAAGGCCTGAAAAGACATAAGCCACAGACACCCTCAAATAAAAACCCAATTGCTGGGCCAGGGATTTAGCTCAGTGGTTTCAACAACTGCCTTGCAAGCGCAAGGGCCTGAGTTCCATCCCTGGTACAACAAACAAACAAAAAACCCAATTGCTTATAAGTTAGGAAGACACAAAGAAAATTACTAAATGGAATAGATTTTTACCTTTTGCATTACTGTTTTCTCCCATGGATTTGTTTTGAGATCAATATATACAATCTTAAATTATTCAATTTTAAAAAAAATGTAGCCACATGCTATGAATTTATTATCAAGACTACCTTGGATAGGTTTTGAAAAGTAATACTTTTTTCTTTTCTAAACTGAGCATTTCTTCCTTGCCCTGTTACAGGGTTATCATTTCCCAGAGGCTGAGATTTGGTGTGAACCCAGGGCCTTGGAATAGCAGGCAAGCACTCTACTACTGAGATAAATCCCACACCCTTTAAAAAATTTTACTGAGACAGAGCCCCACTAAGTTGCCCAGGTTACCCTCAGGCTTGTGAGCCTCCTGCCTCAGCTTCCAGAGTAGCTGGGATCACAGGCATGCACCACCCTACCTGGTTTGGAAAATATATAATATATATCTTATATATATGATTTATAATATATGTATATATTACCGTAAAGTTTATAATTTTTTAAAAAATCAGTTCTGTCTCCTAAACTTTTACCTGAGTACATCTTCCCAGAGACAGCCTACTGAAACCTGTTTAGCTATTTCTTCTGGTGTTTATGTCCATATTTCTAAAGAACATTATCAATTTTAGGTGTGGTCTGTTATCTCTGTGTAACAGTAGTAACAGTTTAGCACTCAGATCTCCTCTCCTTCCCCTCCCTACCAAAGTTGTATTACAGCTTTTAGTTAAATCACTATCCATTTACCTACTTACGACTTTGTGACTATTATTGATTCATAGCTGAACTAGCATATTTCCATGATATGATTTTTTATACCTTATAACTCCTCCATTAAAACCATAAAATTCCGCTCATACTTTCTTGATCAAACTTATCAGGAAATGTGTTCAGTCCATTCCTTTCTGGAAACTTTATGCCCAGACCCTCTATCCACCTGCTCCAAATAGGACTAGCTGTCCCGAGACCTTCCCTGGGTCTTTCCTAGGAAATTCCTTGTTGGATCACAGATCACAGAACCCTTTTGCAGAATACCGAGTCTGCCTCTTCTGCAGTTCACATTGTGTGTGGTACTGGGCACTGAACACAGGGTCACTGCTTTGTACTACATCTGCAACCCTTTTATTTTTTATTTTGAGATGGTCTCTCGTTAAGTTGCCCAGGCTGAGCTCCAACTTGCTCAGACTCCCTCACTGCTGGGATGGCAGGGTCTATGCCATCATTTTTGTGAAGGACATCCTCTCGTAATTCCTTGAGAACAGCTTGATATAGATTTTTTTTTTTTTTTACTTAAAACTGGCATAATCTGTCTTCACATTTGATTAAGAGATTGGCTAACAAGAGAATGAAATAACTCTTCTCTTAAAGAATGCTTCAGGTCTTTTAAATTCTAAGGAAAGTTGAGAAATCCAGTGTCCTGTGATTCCTTTTTTTTTTTCTCTCATTGAGTTTATTGGTACATTTTAGGTATACAGTACAGTTACATTCATTATTGGGATCTTGTACCTTTACATGACAGGTCTTGGTTCTCATTTTTTCCCCCTTGTCCCTGCCCTCCCTTCACCCCCTCTTCCCCTCCCCATTTACAGACACCTTTTTTCCATTTTTTCATTTTCTATTTTTTTCGTTTGTCCTGTGATTCCTGACTGACAAGTGACTAGTCTTTTTGCTCAGTGCACCTACACTCAGGTACTCGTTCTGCTGGGCCCAGGATGGGCTACTTCAGTCCTAAGCCACATGTCCTCAGTTTTGGGATTTTTTATATTATATCTTTTAAGTACCTCCATTCTGTTTTTTCTGTTGTATCTTTCTGGAATTCCTATTATTTGAGTGTTGGACTCCCTAGATTATCTGCCATTTAAAATGTTTCTATTTTCTAGCGACTTACTACTTTCTGGGATATTTCTTCAACATTATCCTCTGCCCCTTATAGTTACCAGTAGTTATTTCAAGTTTATAATACCCTGCAGTTCTTGTCTTAGGGATCAGATTACCATGTTTTGTCACACTGCAGACATTAAGGTCTTTTTCGAAGACCTAAATTTCTCTGAGTTCCTTTGTCTTGGTGGCATCTCTCTCAGCTTGGTGGTATTTAAGAATCCGGTGTTTAAAAGCTGATATAAGATACGTGCAGGCACCCAAAGGTGTTTTAGCCCCCAGCCCCAGCCAATTTCGGAAGATCTGATCTCCGCTGGGCAGAATCTGGTGCCCAGCGTTTGGGATCCGAGCAGGGCTGGTCTCAGAGCTGTGCACATTTGTACCCGGTCCGTTTGGAGGACCCCGATTCACCCAGACCCTCTGCTGTACTTGGTTCACCTGATGCCAGGGGAGAAGAGTTTCCTGCACTTACCTTGTTTTCCTCCTGTGCCTCACTCCTGCCTTCTGAAAATTTTAGTTCCGTCATTTTGGGACTCTGTGATGTTCCATGTGAATTATATCTCTCTCAGCGTTTTCTTTTCTTTTTTTAACTAGGGAAACCAAAGCTAAAGCCTTGGCCTTCATTTGCATCGCTCTCTAGGCACGTGGATGCCAGGATTTTCTGTTCTGTTAAAAGCTGATAAACATTTGCTTATCTATCTGCTTTCCATGTCACAGACTTTGGGGACAGTAACCTCTTGTCCTCTGTTACCTCCTCTACCGTCTTCATAAGCTTTTTCCGAAAAAGTTATGAGCTATAATTCACGTCACACAATCCATCTGCTTCAGCGTTTAAGTGGGTTTTCAGCATTTTCAGTTGTACAACTATCCCAACATATCAAGTTTAGAGCACTTTGCCTCTCTTCCGACAGAACCTCACACCTCAGTGGTCATCGCACTTTGCCCAGTCGCTCACCAGCCTAGACAGCCACTATTCTACTTCCCGTCTGGACGGGACTGCCCATGCCAGACAACTGGTATACACGGCGTCACACGAAGGTGGTCTGTTCTGACTGGCGTCTTTCATTTAACGTGTGTTTCCAAGGTTCACCCATATTGGAGCAGGTATCGGTGTTCCATTACTCGCTGCTGCCAAATAATATTCTATTGTAAGAATATATCAGTTTGTTTGTCTGTTCATTAGTTGATTAATGTCTGTGTTTTTATTTTCTGGCTATTGTAAATAACTTCTGTAAAGGTTTCCAGTCTTTATAATTAAAAAATAATAAAAACAAATCTTCCTTATACAAAATCTTCCTTTCTAAACTCCTAACTTAGGGCAGTAGTTCAGCTAGACAGATTTCAAGTCGGTTTTTTTCCAGATTACCACTGTTTGCTTGAAGGCTTCAAACGGCACAACTAATTGAAATGCCCACTAAGTTACTAACACTGCCAGGAGCTGGGAGCAGGGGGGATGAGGAGTTACCACTTAGTGATAGGATCTGGGAGAATAAACGTTTGGGAGCTAGATAATGGTGATAGGTGTACACACTGTGAATGTAACCAATGCTCCTGAACAGCATACCTAACAACAGCTACAACTGGGCGGGGTGGGGGATTGCTGTGTGGAAGGGCTCTTTCCTGGCATGTGCAAGGGCCTGGCTTCAATCTGCGGGACAATGTAAAGCAAGCAAACAACAACAACAACAAAAACAGGTACATTTTATGTTCTGTATATTTTGGCAAAATAAAAAGTTAATAATAAATCATACTTGCAAGAACATTTAACATTTCACTTTAAAATTCCAAAAGATTAGGGTGATGGTGATTATATAAGTAAAATTAAGCAAAATACATGGAAAACAGGAATTCTTTTTTGGCTTCTAACTTGACAATAATATGGTTTACCACATGAAAGAAAACACCCTAAGATCAGAATTGAACAGCAAACTAGGAAGAATACCTGACTGGATCTCAGCTTCTTACTTTCCAGCTGGCTCTTCCCTTGTAGCAGGGCCTCCTTCTTAGACAGCATGGCCTCCCGTTTCTTTAAGTCTTCTTCCAGCTCCTCTAATGCCTGGCGCTGGTTCAGAACTTTGTCTACTTCTTCATCCAGCCATTTCTTCTGCTCATCCCATTTCTAAATGAAAACACCAAAGAAGTGGTACTGTTTTTTCTGCCAGGACAATTATATGGTAGCCATACAATTCCACACAGGCTGAGGACTGAAATGCACATTTAAACAATGAGAATGGCTCATGCCCCTGTCCAGCGAATATGTCTGTGCCTGACGAAGAAAAGGCTGGCGATTTTCTTCATGGACATCGCACTGAGAACACGCCAGGCTCTTCCTCCTCACCACAGAGGCGCGTGCCTCCACCACAGCACCTCACACTGCTGGGCCCGCGGCTGGCCCGTCTTCCCCAGCCCTCAGCTCCTGGACGGACTGTAGGAACTGTCCTTCTCACCCCTCTACCCAGTGTACTTGGCGTGTTACCTGACCCATAGTGGGCACTCAGTAAATTACCTTATTCAATCCATCAGTAAATGGAATGAGAAAATTAATACACATGGGGAAACACACAGATGATAGAGCATGGAAGGGAACCCAATCTACACTAGACCTTGTCAACTTCAAATATTAATAAGTAAAAGAGCTGGAAAGATACTCCACACAAACATCTTAGTATGAAGGGTACCCAAACTGGTTATAGTGGTGCATGCTTACAATCTCAGAACTCTGGGAGGCTGAAGCAGGAGAATCACTTCTATCCTACCCCGGGCAACTCAATGATATAGTGAGACCTTGTCTCAAAATAAAACATGAGAAAGGATTGAGTATGTACCTCAATGCAAAGGCCCTGAGTTCAGAACCTAGTTCTGCAAAAATAAATAAGGGAAAAGAAATTTTTCAAAATTAAGACGAATGTATTTTCAGTATAATTCTAAATATACTATTTTTATAAAACAAAAATTTCAATTTATTTGAATCTTGCAATTAGTTTATGGATTGTAACATAGTTTTTAAATAGTAAATGTTTTTAAAGTGCTAAAATAACAGCTCTTTAATACAGTAATACTTTGGTCCCCAAACACTTCTGCTGGTGAACAATTCGCTTCATCACAGAAGTGTTCGGCAGAATTCTGTTTCCGTCCGGCAACTGTGCACTGGGTGACAAACACAACTGTGGCATCTTCCCCAAGTGAGCTCGAATGCAGTCATCTTCCCCAGAGTTGCGCAACGAATCGAGTTCATGAACCGAGGTGCCACTGTATATCACATTAGTGGCGGCGAACCCAGGGCACACGTCATTGTGTTTTCCTTTATAACAAAAGATGTTACTGTAGAGTTGTTTTCTCTGAACTAAAATTTCAGCATTCAGATTTAATTGCAGTGCTGACACTTTGTGATAAATAACTGGGATTCTGGGTTGTAGTTTGGCACTAGGTCTGGAAAGGGTTCACCATCACTGTATTACACATACAATTTGGTTCTGTCTGTCTCCATGGGAACAAACCAGATTGAAGTAGGAACACAGATTTCACATTTATATTCCACAACATTCAAGGAAGCTCATTTCTACTAAAATAAAAATGCAGCACATTTCTGGATGAGAAAAATTTTAATAGCAGATGTTTCAGAAGAAATACTAGACATTTAGCATGCAAGTGGAAAAGGGTGTGTGAAGATTTTCTTCAGAGTTTACCACTTTTTACCTCTACTTAGACAACCCTCAAAAGTGCAGAGAAACCAGAAACACTAAACAGAATTGACAGACCTGGAGTTGGTCTTTACTTCCAAATGATCTTTTCTTTGTTTTCAAGGTAAGTGTATCAAGATCCTCAGCCTTCAGTTTCAGGCCTTCTTCCTGTCCTGTCTTTAATTGTAGTTCCTACAGAAAAAAAAAAATTTAAACTCTTTATCCATTTTATTACCTGGCTATCATTAAACACGCAGATGGTAATGTCCTTTCCTTTCTCTTCTTCTCCCTCAGTGCTCGGATGTGAATCTGGGGCTATGCACTTGCTAAATGTACATTGTGTCCCAGCCCAAGAATGATTTCCTTAACATTTATGTTCCTAGTTGCAAAAATTGAGAAAATGAGTAGATAAAGGTTGGGGCTACTTGAAAAGAAAATAATTTTAGCTTTCACTGAGGCAAAAAAAAAATCTAAGGCAAAACTCAGGATTTATTAACTAGTTTTTTTTTTTCATTCTTCGCATTACAGATTAAAAAACAGGGATAAAAGTCTAAACTTACAAATGATTTTTCTCTTCTTCCTGAGCTCATGACCTTCACAATGAGTCTATCCAAGATAGCTACCTGCCATGGGTATATTAGAATTTTACATTAGAAATGCAAAAAAGATGTAACATGTATGTTTCTGGTATTCAAAATTGGAAATCTGCAGCACAGGCACACCATGGTCCTGTGAAGAGTATTTTCCAAATCCCTTTAGTTTTCATCCACATCTTAAGGGTCAAGTCAAAAGTCTCCATGATCACAGTGCTCTCTGGAGTTTAAAGAAGACGCTGGTGTCTCACCACCAAAGCTTGGGCAGGAAGGGTCCACATCTGCTACCGGCCCATGATGGCCAAGCACAGAAATTGAAAGTAAGTGCTCAGATATTGTCATTACAATTTAACGGGGTAACTGTGTCTCTACTTACTCTAAAAATGTATAAAAGCAACTTTTATTTGCGTATTTTAATTTCATTTTTATACTAATTCGTGTTTTATAAGACTGCTGGGCTGTGACAAATTTGTAATGAAATGAAAACTATACTTTCTCCAACAGGAAACTACAGAAGCACTCATGGAAAGTAAAAGGGGAGACTAGCACTTGGCAGCCCTGGGAATGGCAGGGAGAGAGGAGGGTAACAAAGATCGAGTCCCAGTTGTCCTCTGAATTTTGGCCCAGACAGAGTGTGATAAGTAAAGGTTTTGTTTTGTTTTGTTTTGTTTTTTGAGACAGGGTCATACTATGTATGTGAGTGCAAGCCACAGTTCTTTAAACCTATCTGTGGAGCTTTGCTATGAACTGCTGCTTTGAAGAAAACATATGCAGAAGTCAGAGTATTCTCCTGAAATAGTTGAACCAAATAGATAATGGACAACCTGGAGTGTTAGAAAGTTAGCTTCAAACAGCAGGATGTCCTTTAGGACTGTGAGGACTGTAAGGTTCATCTTTTCATGAAGGAGTAAAAATGTCCACTTTGGGGCACTCTGGTCCTTTGCCTGAATACCTGCTATGTTCCATAAACTTGATCATTTCTCTGGAATTAGAGAGACGGCTAGAAGGAACAACAGTGTCCTAGGTAAGACATAAAAGGCTTACATTACTGGCAGAGCTGCATTTCAGTACATATGCACTCTGAACAAGAGTTTTTATTTTCGCTAAGCATTAAGAGAGTGCTATGTCTTACTAGTTTAGGCCACATCTCATAAGACATGAAGACCTGACTCCCAAATCCACAAGACTGACAGGCAGGACTTTAACAAGGAGGCATGATTATTGGCAATAGAAATGAAAGTTGGAGAAATTCAAGGTATTTGGCAGATATATTCTGTGGGACTTAGTGGTTCGTTTGACAAGCGTAACATGGAAAGGGACAGAATCAATGGTGTCTCCTAAATTTCTAGTTTACCCAATTCAGTGGGTCGATACACCGTAAAAGGCACACTGGAGAGCCACTGTTTATCCCTTATGAAGACAGCAGGATAGGGAAATAGTGGGGAGTTAAGATTGTAAATTTATTTACAAGACAACTGAGTGAAATTGTGGATGGCTGGATAACATGTAAATCTGGAGCTCAAAAGACAGATTTGGGGTTAAGGATTAAATTTGGGAATGTCAGTTTATCTGCAGCCCCAGAAAAAGATGAAGTCACCTAAGATACAGTGTAGAAGAAGGCTGACAGGGAAAGGTAAACTCACAATTACAGCAAAGAGCAGTGGGAAGGGGGTGAGGGGAGAAGGAGGGTAAAATATCACAAAAGCAAAAAGGAAAGAAAATATTTTAATGAGGAAGAAGTGATCTGAGCTGGATGCAACTGAGCGGTTCGGTAAAGACTTTACACTGAAACATCAATATCACTCTGCACCCCGTAAATAAGTACAATTATGCATCCACTAAAGTTTTCTAAGTAAGGATTTTGGTGGCTTAGAGGGCACTACGAAACTTCTTAAGGGCTCTGAAGTAGACCAGAAGCCAGAATAAAGAGAAGAAGAGAATGAATGGGTGCAGAAGAAACAGAAACAAATGCTGTCGGCTTCACCGAGAACTTTGAGTGAATGGAGGAGAGTATGGTTGAAAGCGGGTAGTGTTAAGATGATACAAATCGAAAATCTTGAAGGACAGAATACAGGAGAAGTAGGGGAGTGGAGTATTAAGGTAGAAACCTGCTTACCACTGTCAGTAATGAATTACTATTACTACAAGAAGTCATTCCTACTATTAAGAGTAAGTAAAGGGAATGAAATTAATATGCGAAAAAGAAAAAATGGAAACAAAGTCTTTGTAGATAGGGAGGGTGTAGAGATTGAAAGGAATGGGGAGAAAAACAAGAACCGAGATGATTATGTAAGGTGCAAACATCCAATAATGAATGTCATTACACTGTATACCTTAAACGTACCAATAAAATTAATTTTAAAAATAATATGTAGTTCATAGAAATTAAGAAAGCAATTTCATTTACAATATCATCTAAAAGAATAATATAATCTGGGAATATATTTAACCAAGAAAGTAAAAGATTAGTACACTGAAAATTAGACGGCACTGCAGCAAAAAAATTAAATAACACCACAGATTAAAGGATACCTAAGTGGAAAGGTAGCCATGGGCATGCATAAGAAGATAATACTGCCAGGATACACTCAGAAATCTATATTGAATGCAATCCCTATCAAAATTCCCAAAGCTTTGTTTTTTGGGTTTTGTTTTTTTTTTTCAGAAACAGAAAAGCTAATCCTCAAATGTATATATAATGGCACGGTCCTTGAACAGTGGAAAAGCAGAGCAAAGCTGACAGGTGTGGTGGCACACACATACAATTCCAGCACTAGGGAGGTTCAGACAGGAGAACTGTGAGTTTAAGATCTGCCTACGCTATGCAGAAAGTTCTAGGTTGGCATGGACTACATAGGCCACCTATCTAAAACAAGAACAAGATGGGCACGGTGGCGCATCCTTGTAATCCCAGCACTTGGGGGACCAAGACAGAGGAATGCTGTAAGTTCAAGGACAGCCTCGGCTACATAGGGAGTTTAAGACCAGTCTGAACTATGTAGCAAATACCCTGTCTCAAACACCCCTCCCGAAATCTAAATAATAAAGCAATAACAAAAAAAGAGTAAAGTTGGACTTACTGAAGTGACTTCCTGATTTCAAAACTATACTATAAAGCTACAGTAATCAAAATAGTGTGGTGCTGAGATGAGGATACAGATAAGCCAACAGAATAGAATTGAAAGTTCAGAAATTATATATCCATGGCCAGTTGATTCTTTAAAGATAAAAGTATGCATAGCTCGGCATGGTGGTATAGGAGCATAATCCCAGGAATTTGGGAACCTAAGGCAGAAGGATAGCAAGTTTCAAGCCAGCAAAGGCAATTTAGTGAGACCCTATCTCACAATAAAAAACGAACGGGATTAGTTGGAAATGTAGCTCTGTTTTAGAGTGCCACTGGGTTTGATCCTTGATGTTTTAATGTACATATATTTAGTGAAATGACTGCTAGAGTCAAGCTAATCAACATATCCAGCTCCTCAAATATTACTATTTTGTTTTTTGTGATAAGAGTACTTCAAATCCAAGTGTTCACTGATGGAAGAACGGATAAACAAAATGTGCTACAGCCATATAGTAGGTTGTTTTTCAATAGGTTCTGGCTCATATATTGCCCAGGCAGGTGGAGAACTGCTGGGCTCAAGAGATCCTCCTGCCTCAGCCTCCTGAGTAGCTGAGACTAACACACCACTCCTTCCAGCTTTACAATGGAATATTATTTAGCCATAAAAGGGAATTAAGTTCTCATACAAGGTAAAACACAGATGAAACTTGAACACAATCTGATAAAATAATGTTAGACATAGAAGGACAAATATGATTCCACTTACATGACTTATCCAGAGAAAGCAAATTCATAGGCACCGAAAATAGAATAGAGGTCATCAGGGACTGAAGAATAGGAAGAATGGGTATTTACTGATTTGGTTTGAGATTCTCCTTGGGGTGATGGTTATGAATGTAATTAATGTTACTAAAGTACACTTCAAATGGCTGAAGTGATATACTGTATATTGTATATATATTATTATAGCTGATAAAATTTAACAGTGTGATATATCAAAAACCTATTGAATTATTCACTTTAAATGGATGAGTTAAAGGTTTAGTATCATTAGGAAATGAGCTGAGAGATAAATTAGCAAATGAAAATATATTCTTTGAAGATCACAGTTTTTACCATGGTTATTCTCTAGTAATATTTGTTGTGAAAACATTTTTTCATAGAATGGCTTTTATATTTTCTTTACTAATATCTATTTGTAATACCTTAAATTTAAAAAAATGGGTGAATTGTAGAGGATGTGAACTGTATCTCCATAAACTTGTTTTTAAAAATTAGTAAATGCTCTTTAAGATCCCTCCCACATCTAAATTCTGTGATTTTTGTTTTTTACAGTCTAAACATGGGTGATATCCAATGTCTAAAATCTAGTGCACCTGGGGTGTCTCTGGTGGGGAGGCTGTGATGTGTGGACAGTGGGTATCTTCCTCTCAATTTTTCTGGGAACCTAAAACTGCTCTAAAAAAGTCTTAACTTTAAAAAGAAATTTAGAAAATCTCCCACTGTGTTCTAGGCCCTGGGTTCTTCTGGGCATCTGAACAGAACAGCGCTTAACACACAGCACTAGATAAGCGTTTGTTACAAGCCTGAAGGTTGTCGTCTTCGGCTTCAGAGGCCCAGGAGGCGTGCACGACCGAGGCCACTGAAGGGAAGCATGAACACAGTCAGAAGACTGAGGATTTTCTCAACAAATCTCGGCCATCGCCCGTAAGAGCTGGGATTTGAACTCATGCTGGCCTAGCTCTGGAGCTGCTGTTACTTGCTCCTCCCCAGCGTGATATATGCTATGCAGCTGCGGGCAGACCCTCTTCCACTCACTAGGAAAGGGTCCCTTTCACCCAGTACTTTTCTCCATGCAGCCACATGGATAATGCAGGCCAAGGCACTCTGAAAATGGGAAGTCCTGTTCAAATGTCGTTTAGAAGTCAGCTTTATAAAATGATGTTGTGACCGGCATCAGCTACAGCTAATATTCTAAGAGAAATGTTATCACTGTAGTTTCTTTGGTGAAGTCAAAGCCTTTAAAGACAGTACTCAAAATTCAATAAATAGGTTTTACTGTACTATATAGATGAGCAAAGCTTTAAAGTAAGGACAGCAATGATGGGCAGGGCAAAGACAGACACTCACAGTGGAATCAAGACCCGGCTCTGTTAGTTCTGAGCCATTTAACACTTGACATTATACTTAGCAGGAATGTAGGACAGTATTACTTTGATTTTTTGCTGATCCCGCTTAATTTCTGCATCCAGTTGTTTCCTTTTGTCATTTTCTTCTCGAAATCTCTTTTGCAGCTGTACCTTTTGATACTTCAAGTGATCTACATTTTGCTCTAGTTCATTAGCACATTTCTCCTTTTGGATCGACAGTGATGCCAATTTCTTACTATCCTGTTGCTTCTTCTGTAAGACCTGAGAGGATACAGAATATTTCAAAGTGAAAATGTGCATCTCTTGTATTCCCCAACTACACTGCATCTTCCATTCAGTGGTAAGAGGAGCGATTTTCCCGTTTTCTTTCATTCATTCATTTTTAAATGGAGATCAAACTCAGGACCTCGTCCTTGTGAGGCAGGTGTGGTGCCACTGAGCTAAATCCCTGGCCCATTTTCATTTATTTTGATAGGTTCACAAGCAACTGTTTACTCTTCTACATTTGTAATTTTGCAGATGAGGAAATCATAATTTTCATCAGATATGTAAACAACTAAAGAGTAAGATTTCCCAATGCTAGGGACTGGGATTTAGCTCAGTGGTGCTGTGCTTGCCTGGCAAGTGCAAGGTACTGAGTTTGATCCTGGTGCCCCCCCCACCAAAAAAAGAAAAGTATTTCCTAATGCTGACAACCAGAACAAAATACACTGCTCTATTTTCTTATTAATAAGTTTTAATTTTTAAAATATATTTACATGGAAAAACTTAAAAACAGTACTAAACTGAATTTAAATTTAAAAGGATTCTCTTTTGTCCCAACCCCTAATCTACCTGTCTTGCTCCCTCACACAAAATTACTGATTAAATATTCTTCCAGAAATAATTTATAT